ATTAAAGATCCTCAGGGGCAACCTTGAGGCCTGGCCTAAGGCCCAACTGCGTTGGGCAAGTGGCCTGACTTATAGGCTCGTGCCTACCAGGATCTCTTAAGCCTACGTGGCCTACCTATGCAGATAGTTGCAGTTCAGCTATCTGACACGTACAGGACAGCCATATAGCTTCGGCTGTGTGTTCCTGGCGTGACGCATGCCTGGTCCACAAGACCCAACTCTTACTAGCCGCACCGGAGCCGTAGCTACTTCTGTGCGTAACAGTGATCTGGCCTCTATTGTATTAAGTGACCGAGTCACGTCAGACTTTTTAGTTGCACCTTATAGCATCCCCCAATGGTCAGGTCAGTGCCTAGATAGGCTACCGTAGATTAAAGGAGGACCTAATTGTCAGCTCAGGTCGATACCCAATGGTCAGGTGAACTTAGTCCTGCCCTACGCAAGCTCAAGCTCTTGTACACTATAGGCAGGACATGGTGCCGAACAGGTGCAATCCCAGACTTCAGTGCATCGGCAGCTTGGCAAGACCCAAACATCATCGCCGTCAGAGGATTTGGCCGCCCTGTCTCGACCGCGCAAGCTCGGGTCGTCAGCCTGACGCAACTCTCATTCCTGGGCGACCCGGCGGTCGGGATCGCGATCGCCAAGAGATGTGTTCCCCGTGGGGTATATATGGGATTCTTCACGCTACTTCTGGAGGATAGGAACAACCGCAAACCGCAGTCTCAGCCTCAAAGTCACAGCAACCATCAGTTTATACAAGACGGCTCTTCTTTCTGTCCTTCACAAACGAACAGCACAAGCAGTCCAAGAATATACCACCACAACCATGTACGCGCTCGCCCTGTCCGCCCTCCTCCCCCTGGCCTCAGCCGGCCTCATCAAGCGCTGCACGCCAATCTCCGACCCCGACGTCGCGGGCGGCGTCATCCCCCCCGCGCCCTGCTGGCTGACCTTCAACGCGGCGTGCGAGCGCTTCATCGCGCCCGACACGGAGCTCACCATTGATGAGACGCACAACCTCATCGTCGTGCACGGCATTTCGGAGGAGTGCGTCGCCGACATTGAGGAGGAGCATGCGCGCAAGGCCGACGGCCGCAAGACCTTTGGATGGACTGAGGAGCACGGCAAGCTGCACCCGATTGGCGGCGGCATTCTCGTCATCTCGGACGTCGCCGATGAGACGATCCAGCAGTACCAGTCGCTGACTCTCGAGGGGGAGGCCCCCACTGCGCCTGAGGGCGAGGCTCCCGCTGAGGCTGCTGAGCCTGTTGTCGGCCAAGGAGAGCCCGAGGGTGAGGCCGCTGCTGCAGC